AATAATGGCACCTCAACTACGACAGCACGTCCAATGAGTACCGGCACCTCTAGCAACGGATCTTCCTATGGCTACTCCAATGGCACTTCATATAGCACCCCGCCCCACCCTGTGGCCACCGGTTCTGGCTCTGGCTCACCATACAATGCCCCGGGCAATGGTAATCAAGATCAACCCATTGCCACTATCTTTCCAGACTTCACTTCTCAATACACCGTTTCAACTGGTGCCGTCGCTTTCCACACCAGCCGCGGCCTGGTCTCCCGCTCCCATGGCAATAAGGGGAATGACATGACCACGCTGGTCACCTTTGAACTTGACACGATGTACAGCGGCAATCAATGTCAATTAGTCTTCGACCTGGGCAGTGACCCAACAAGTCATATCACTGGAACCGGGAAAGCTCAGCTGTTCACGTCCCTCGCCCCCGCCACAGCCGATAGCGACAGCTGGCCCTCGGGCAACCTGCGAAACCAAGCTCTCGGCACAATCGACATCAAAGCCTACGGGCGTGCATCCTGGGAAGCAGGCTCGGGACCCGGCGCCGATGTCGACGGCAAATTCCCTTGCTCGTTGATTACGGGACAGATTTACGGCGGAGAGATTGTCCCCGTCGGGGATGAGGATACCATCTCTTGGACAGCCGGACATGGCGATGGACCGAAGATCCTCGTCTCCTAAATCAATAATTAAAGGCATGGCTTTTTACCTGGGTTTGGTCGAGTGTAATATGGTGCTTGCTACGTTGCTTTCCCTTAGAGGCTGGGGTTAGACTCATAATCGTTTGGAGACGGCGCTTCTGCAATTTTTATTATGATTATCACACAGCGAGCGAGCACGGGAGGGCTGGCATAGGGCAATTTCACAGGAACCCACTACTTTGATACATGATGATCTGTTTGCAATCTGGAGGTATGGATGACCCCCTTGACAGGGACGCAGCGCGGACTGTGTTCTGTTCTGTCCTGTTCTTCTTTGACGCGGGACGAATATGGTCCAGACATAATATTTCGTTAATTCGTCTACGCCAGACAGCCATTGTCTGTAAAATCTATCAGACATTCAATCTAATTCTGAGAGGGAAACTTTGCTCCGGACTTTGAAGAGCATTCTAATCCTGGCCATTTTTGCCATTTTTCTTGAGCTATTGTGATATTTCGTGAATCGGGTATAAAACTCGACTCTTCTCTACTAGTACTATTATTCTGTGGGGCAGAGGTTTGTATAGCATAATATAGTATGGTATAGTATAGTAATTATAAAACGAATTATCTGGGTGGTTACTCCTTACTTAGGCATGTGAGGCACGTACAAGATATGTATATACACACGATAATCTAGATTGATATGGCACTAAATAACCTCCTTAATTGCCTGCTTAGATCTCTCCTGATTTTATTAAAGGATATTAAATATTGCCGTCGTGTCTATCAATGACTACTTGTGTGCGTGTGTAATGATAGAATATACATACTCGGTACATATACTATGATTATACTTTTGTAATATCCCACTTGAAACCGTTTCCAGGAATCGCTTCAAGACCTGTTACAAGGGGACGACTAACGGAGCCTTCTGGCACTGCACTGCTTGGTTCTTCTCTTCCATATCCAATGCCACCTGCTTGACCGGCCTTTTTCCTGGACCTAATCGCAGCGAATTGCTTCACGCCGACTTCTGCATGTCCCAGAATGAGCTCCCACAGCCGATACTCCTCATCACACAACCTTGTACACCTTCTTGCACCACCAAAAGCATATCATCCCAAATATGACCAGGCCGGCCGTGGTGCCCCAAAACCAATTCAGGTTATCCACATCTTGACCAGGGACTTTGAAATTGCCACCAAACATGCCCGTCACGATGTTCATCGGGAGGACAATGGTTCCGAGCACAGTCAACTTGCCCAATACGTCGGCAGTCTAGCAGATGAATCAGTATAACGTCAATTGGAATGGCATTGGGACGCGACATACCCTCTCTTGTCTCTCGTTCATGTGAATGCTGACCTGGGCCAGGTAATTTCCGTGTGCCCTGGACAGCACCATCTCGTAGTGCGACAGGTTTCCAGTCATGGTCAAGATGTGGTCTTGAATATCGCCCAGATACAACCCGATTTCCGATTTGGGCGCGACTTCCCACTGCTCATTACACCGCTTTGCGAAACCTTTGATAACATCCGCCTTGTTACCCAGCAGTCTGTACAAGGACATGACCTTTTTGCGACACTCGCCTATACGCAGGAGCATGTCGATCCCACTGATTTCTGCCTCACCGGTTTCTGACTTCTTTTCATCCAGCTTCTTCTCACCGTGCTCCCCAGCAAGGAGATCGGTATTCTGGAATGCTCGGAGAATCAAGTCGTCAATAGTGTCAACTTCTTCTTCGATGTGAGTGATGAGCGGTCCAAAGACATCGGTGATGTCGTCAATTATGGCGTACGAGATCCAGTCTGCGCTGAGGATAAGATAGTCCGAAAGTTGGCGAATGCGTCTTCGCACATTTGCCGGGTGTGGGATCTGGGAGAAGTGGAAAGTGACAATCCCATATCGAAAAACGCAGACAAACATGTTGATAGGTTCTAAGTAGTCCTCACTGTTGGTATCCTGCTCAAAGGTTCGATAATTGATGAAATAGTAATTGCGAAACAGCTCCACCTTCTCCCGAGCTTCTTGCATCATGATGTCCTCGGACGTAAGAGCATGAATTCCAAATGTTTTCGCTAGAACACGCATTTCCTGATCTGTTGGGCACAGGACGTCGAGCCAGAAAGTCGGCCGCGGTCCATATTTCTTGGGCTTGGAAGGTCGAGTCGAAGCAGGTTTCTTCTGCGGTGTTGCTGTGCCCGAGTTTTTGCTCTTGTCCGAACTCTTTCCACTGGTCACAGGTTTCAACTGGAGGTGCGTTTCCGCGAGGCTAGGCATTCCGGATTGTGTCTCGATGACTGTTGTGCTTTTGGGGCTTTGCATTGCACTGGGTGTTTCTGTGACCTGACTGATCCCCAGCAACTCCTCTTCGTCCTCAGAACTTGATTCGATCAATTCGGGCGGATCTGGGATGAACAACTCGCGAAAAGTCCCACCGGGTTGTACCAACTCCGAGATCGTCTCAGCGTGGATCGTACTTTCAAATTCTTCGTTGAAATAAGTGTATCGGTATTGCTTGTCTTCTTCGACGTGGTGCCAGGCATTCTTCTGAGGCCGGAGTCTGCCCTCGACGAACACAGGCTCACTGACCTTCTTTGCCCGCCGCTCTCCTGCCTCCCTGGCCTCTTTCTCTACTCGACTCCACTCATCCAGAACCCACAGATTTGGCCACTCTCGTTCGCGGCGTTTTCGCCGCTGGCCACTGATATAGTGTTCCGCTGGCTGCACCCTATTATAATATTCATCGCCCGCCTCTGATACCTCATCCGCGGGAAAGCACACGTCTACCTCGGCTGGCATGGTCAACGATCGATGTCGTTGAACTCCACCGGGTCGAAGCCTGGGGCTCGGTGGTGCGGAATTCGGATCGTTGTCTCCATCACCGTCGATCATGATCAACGCATCTTTGTTGGCAGCATTGAGATTCCTTCGACTATCTGGCGAACGTGTGAGGAAATTGCCGTCGTCGACCATCACATCGCCATAGTGAGGTTCAAGGGTAGGACTGGGTGGGACAGACGGAGGATTGTTGACATCGTAGCCTGGATCAGACTTCGGGAACGAGTGTCTAGGAGTTCCGAGGGTCTTCTTCCTTTGCGGCTGCTTCGAAGACGACGATAGTGTAGATGTATGGGACTTGACCCTAAAAAGTCCATAGCCAGCCTCGACGGGAGTCTTGGGCTTTGTTCCACCAGAAACCAAGGGTGTACGGTCGTCGACGTCCTCATTATCTGACCCATTTGAACTCGAGGCATCGGGTTGAGTCCTCTGTCTCTTTTGCGAACTCGTGTCGATTTTGGGCATAAGCGAGCTCCGATATGATGTAGCGAAAAGGGGAGTCAAGCGGCTGTCCCGCCGAGGACGTAACGTAGGTTGATCGCGGTGGTCCAGGAGCGCTTCACTGTCGAGGCTATAATCGCTGATGTTTCCTCGGTTGGTCTGGTAGAAGGGCGGATGAGCGCCTGGAGGCTCTTGCGCCTCTTCGATCAACGGGTCGTCCGTGGGCACATCTCTCCCACTTTGCATTGCAGAGGTCTCTGAGGGAGCTGCAAACGATTGACGCCTGTTCCTTCTCTTTTTGCCCCCTCGGTGTTTTCTTTTCTTTTTGCCATCTGCATGCGCAGTGGAGACGGTGGAGAGTCGGGCATCGCCTGGAGCATGGGAAACAGACGGTTGACCAGTCCTAGCGGCGCTCATACTCGACTTGGTCTCGTCGCGTAATTGGGTAGGTTGGGAGGACTGGCCTCGGTTCGGAGGTGGGAGAGGATGCATTCAACAACGCACGAGGTTATTACTGTAGACGACCTGGCAAGGATGAGGCGAGGGCGTAACTTTGTAGATGAAATAAGAATGCCAGCGGAACCAAGACAGGACATGAGCAGATACAGCTAAAACGCATGCGAAGAAAGATAACCGGCAGAGAGAACACACCTGCGATCTAATAATACACAGAAGTCATTATATTGATAGATAGGATCATGCTTAAGAGGTCAAGGCTTGACTGATATACACTTTGGCTATGACGTGGGTAACGGCTGGTGACAAGCGATTGTTCAAATGGCGCAGTCCTTGCAAGGCTTCGCACGCGACACTTTCCTCGAAGCTGCAACGACCTCATTATCAACAATAGCCATATACATCAGGTGCACTATCTAGACAGGTATATAAAGGGAATCGTATCGTCGTCCATAGCTGCCGAGGAACTGTAAGCTTCCCATCCATTTCATGCCAATAGAAAATGAGGCTGCTTTTGCAACAAGGAACCTCCCTCCTTTCCAACGACAACCACCAACACCATCGCCATGCAAAATGAAAACAAATTCCCGATATGCCCCGTCAACTTGCTCTTAACCATCAGAACATGTTCTCGTTCCCTTCCATCCCGCTCATGGCAAGACTGTGCGTGCTCACAGCACGCAAACTCTTCGCATCACTGCCACCGCTGACGTGTCTCGCCGAGCTCTTCACTCGCTTTCCCTTATCTGGTCTTGCGATCAGAACCTGCGCAGGGCACACGACAATCTCCTCGTCTCCTACTCCATTGTCGTCCCCTTTCTTGACGACAAGCGGGAAGAGTACCATGCGCACCACCGCATGTTCACGTTCCAACTCCTCGTTGCTTGTCGTCTCGCCACTTCTTTCATTCATCAAGCTTGCATTAAAATACACTTTCCGAGCCAGGTCGCCATTGGTATCGTACTCGGGCTGCAATGGCGGTAGCATGATATATTCGGCTCGTTGGGTGCGCATCTCGATTGAGAGTTCTACCGCCGTGCGCATCACGTTGCGCAACGATCCCACAATCTGGTTCTCTAGATGCTGGGGTGGAGGGAGAAAGCGTGACAATGTCGAGAAAATCTCAATGGCCACTGCTTCGGTGTCGCTCTCCCGTTGCGCCTTGAAACTCTCTCGTTTGGAGAGCAACGTGAGCGTGAGGGCTCTCCATTGGTGAACCGCGCTCGGTGGTCCCACTTCTCCCAGATTCTTCTCCAGCTGCTTCAGTTTCTGCCGTTGATCACGGTCCATACCAAACAGATATCTAGTAAAGACATACTCCCAGATCATGGTCATCACCACCGACATGAAAACATCTCGTCGCTTGACCCGGTGCGCCAGATAGTCATCCACGTCTGAACCATCGAGTATCGCATTGTCGAATCGGTCCACAATCTTTTCATCTCGGACCTCATTTGTTGTGCGACAAAGCTTCAAGTCGCTGAACTTGGAAAACCGAAGTACCCACCCTTGTACTTGTTGACACAGCTTCTGGCACGCTTGATCAAAGTAATCCTCGTCGTGGAAAACAACCACATCGTCTGCCCCCTTTGACAGTATCTGAGACTGCAAGTCTCTGATCTTTCCTCTGGCAGCTTCAAGCTCTCCCCGAAGTCGTTCTATTTCTGCATTTTTCTCGCCAAGAGCTGTATCGATTTCGTGCCTGACGATGGACTCCATCCCAGTTGACAGCTCATTGTGCCGTGATCGCAGCGTTTCCAGTTCTTTCAAAGAGTCTTGCCATTGCGATTGCGCCTCATCGTAGTTATGCCGGAGACTGGACAAGCTCTGTTCGTGTTCTCTTTTCAGTGACTCATGTGTCGCGATCAGGGAGGCCACCTCTTGTTTGAGACGCGTGATTTCCGCATCCCGCTCCTGGATTTGCGCGTTGAACGCTACTTCCGCGTTTTCAACTCGATTGCGTTCGAAATGAGCTTGTTCGAGTTGCTGTTCTGTGGCTATCTTTGCTTCGGCCAAGGAGCGATTCTCACTTGCGAGCTGGTCCAACTTCGCCTCAAGATCTCTTATTTGCTGCATGCTCTGTCGTTGTCGGATACTCGGAGGTCGTGTGGGAGAACGGGGACTACCGGGTAGTGAACCATACCCATCCTGCTAGCCTGTTAGGGATAACAATCAACATCAGGTCGCGTCAAACTTACATAGACATCTGCCATTTCCCTATCACGAGCAGCAGCCTTGCCCGCGCTCTGGGCATTGACCGGTGCTTGTGATGACCCCGACGCGAAATTGGCTGGGTCGTAGGGGGAGACTGAGGTGCTGTGCAGGTTGCGCAACGATGAGGTCCGAGACTTGCTTCTGCCAAGAGATTTAGCGCTGGGACTGGGAAAGTCACGTGAAATTGCTGCGGAGGCTACAAGCGCGGCTGCTCCAGCGGCTGCCGCCAAGCCAGCTGTTCCAAGGCTGTCGGTCTCTGCAGGCTGTCGAGGCGTCAGATTTGTGGGAGGATTGACGAACGGATGTATCTGTGAGCTCGCCTCGTGTGAGTCTTCATTGATGGCGTTGAGCGTCGTCTTGCCCGGCGAAAACGGGCGCATGATGTTGGCCTGTGTTGGTGAGTCAAAGCCCGACCGATTCCCCGGTGCTACACCTGACCGGCTAATCTGATTCCAAGCAAGTTGGTCACTGTCATCGTTGTGTGGGGAAATCTTGGCCTTTTGTTGCCTCAGCTCCTCCCGGCTGAGATGATGGCCATGAATACTGGGGCTTCTCTGAAGGGTACTTGCCATATCTTGAGGACTTCTGTTCCGAATATCCGTGTTTATCGGGGATGGCATGGCGGGAGAGGAATTGAACAGAACCGAGGATCTGTCCTTTGAAGTGGATTCCACCGGCGAAGGCTTTCTTCTGGGCGTCTCTAGGCTGATCGACTGATCGACCTGGTGCCTACTCGTCACATTCTTGGATACATCCTCTGTCGAGCTTGTGGGTGATTGAGGCCGAGGCGGACGAAGGTTTATATCTGTGTGGATTTCCCTGGGGGTACCGAATTCACCATCTTGGATCGTAGGGCTTGCGACATAGCCACTGTCTCTTGCGGATGGAAAGTGACCTGATGATGGATCCGGCGACTCGAATTGAACACCGCTGTCTCTATTCGATTCGGCATGGGCAAGCTTGGTAACAGGATCAAGCTTAGCAAAAGACCAGCCTGCGGACGGTTGCCGAGTGGGCGAGGGTGCCTTTCGTGGAGTTTCTCTGCTCGACTCGCTTTCTCCAGCACCAAATCCAAGTCCTGCGGCAACCCCGAGGGCAGTATCCATAATATCGTCGTGTTCAGGTGGTGGAGTAAGCGCACGATCCCTTGGTAGGTCTTCAGGCTCTTCTCCTGACCAAGCCGGAGGTGATTTTCTTCTCTTTCGTCTTTCACGTGTGGTCGCACTTACATCGGACAAATCTTCGGTATTCTCTTGGGCATGTGCTGGAACATCTGAAAATTCCCTGGCCTCATTGTGGATGATTTCAGGAATTTCAGGCTCTAGAGTTTCAGTTTGGTCGAGTTCCATCTTTGGCAGGACAATATCCTCGAGCCCTTCGGATATCCCACTTTTCTTCTTTGCCTTCTTGTCCTTCTTGCTCTTCTTGCGCTTCGAAGTATCTTTATTGATGCCAAAATCGGGGTCCTCGAGTCCGGTTGCGTCTTTTCCGTCTTTCGAGACTGTGATTATAGCATCTGCCACAGCATCCTCCTGACCCCTTTTAGAAGTAGCGAATCGATTCTCTGACGTGATAGTGTCAGTCTCTAACACATCTTGCCTGTGATCAATTACATCTGGGACACCAGTATTCGCTGTGACGAGCTCTACATGTGTATCTTGCGCGTGAAAATGGGCAGACTCGTCCCGCGACAGCGTTTTTTGATCGTTTGCTGGGTCGGCACCAAACATGCCCTTCGCGGAATCCAATATCATACTGGCCCTGTTCGCTCCTTCATTCAGCATACCATCGCCGATGTTGCTGGCGGGCTGCGCGGGATCAATCTCCATCTCACGGGGCAATGTATCATCCACATGCTCAAGTTTGGTTGTTGGCGATGCAGCTTGCTCCGACGTAGATATCGGATCAATTGATTTGTCTAGAGCACGCTGGCCAGGTGTGTCCCCTGCTGCACCAAATAGAACGGCCGACTCGTGGGTGTCCGACGCGTTATTGGTGTAGTCCTGAGAAGGTAGTGATCCTTGATTAGCGGAGGCAATTGAATCCATATTATCCCCAGTCTTCATCTCGAGTGACGCCGTGAGGGGGGCCGGAGTTTCGAGCTTGCTTTTAGCGTGACCTTTCTCCCGGTCAGTAGGAAGTGCCTCCATGCAAGCAATTTCATCGGTCCGCGAGATTTCTGGCTCTGTAGGTGGTGCCGTTGTCGATGACCCAGAGGCAGCTTCAGCTGTCTGATCCTCATTTCCTGTCCAAGCAAGGACTGACTTCCTCTTCTTGTCCTTTTTGGACTTCTTCTTGCTCGATGCCGGAGCAAAGAATTCAGCACTGTCAGTCTCCAGGGTAGGGACCTCGTTACGTTCTGCCATGACAGCGTCCATGAGCTCCGGCGACACGGTCCGTTGCATTGGTGTTTGCACGGCCGACATGAAATCGTCATTGGAACCCGGTGTTGCTGTGCCTGATGTTTCGAATTCATCAGCAGCAGTCAAGGCTTTACTACCCCTACTCTTCTTCTTGGACTTTTTGCTGGAGAATCCCCATTCAGACTCGGGCTGAACCTCTGTGAGTGTTGATGACTTGCTGGGTTCCGCAGGCATATCGTCTCGCGGTGTATCGGCTCCATTCTCCGCTCTTAGGTCTTCAATATCATCGGTCTTCGGCTCTTCTTCGAGCACTGTTTTCTTTTTGCTCTTCCTCTTCTCTTTCCGAGACGACTTCGTAGACGCCAAGTCTGGTATGACAGAGTCAAGCTCCTCCGCGTGAGGAATGCATGCAGTGGTGTTCTCCAATTTTGTACCCTCCAGCATTTCGGATTCGGATTCGGGGGGTAGCAAAGGTGCACCGGCCGCATTCATCTCATCCGCAGTCGGTGGGGAAGTCTGTATGGCGCTGTGGATTGGAAATGCCGACCCAGAGAGTGTGTCCTCTGTAGGCTCGACTACAGGTAGAGGCTGTGAAGCTGCTCTCGCCGTAGCTTTTTCGGCAATGTCACGTTCGGGGTCAGGTTCCAGAGAACTTGTGCCGATTGAAGTTACCATGGCTTCTGTTCCGGGCTGGAATTTGTTTGCGGTGGTCTCTTCGACTTTTTCCAGATTGTTCTGAATTGTCGGCTGTGGTTCATTCACGTCTCCCTCAAGTGAGAGTGTCTTCCGTTTCTTTTTCTTGTCTTTCTTTACCCGTTTGGTTGAAGCGAAAGTGTCTTCGTCTGCTACAGTGTCATTTGATTTTTCAGCAGCTGGATCTTGTTCTGGAGAATCGACCACTGCGAGCTCCAGTTTGGATTCCTTTGCTTCGACCTCAGGTCCTACATTTCCCGTTTCCCGAGGCTCGGACACAGGCTCCTCGTATGTAGATCGACGCTGTTTCTTGTTCTTCTTCTTCGACCGCGACGGGACCACTTCTTCTGTTATGTTCTCCACCACCACCCCCTCCTGTGCTGCACTTGGTGCTTCTTGCACCTCACTCTCCACGCGCTCTAGCGGAGGAGCTTCTCGGGATTGCAGATCATCTGCTGGGAGTGCCTTCGTTTCATCTGGGATGGCGATCTCATCGGCTTGCCGTGGTCCGGCTTGCATTGATATCGGTGTTTCCGGCGGATTTCCTTCAGAATTTTGCGCCTGCATCCTTTCTGTCAAAATTGGAGCTTCTGAAGTCGACAATCCTTCAACATGCGCCGAGTCGGTGTGGAGCGATGCTGGGGCTTCTGCAACACTTTCGGTGCTGACGTCCGCTCTTTTGTCTTCCAAGGGCGTTGTGGTGGACGCATTGGCAATGGGATGGCTCGGCTCAATCTTTTTGTTTTCATCTGCTTCGATTTGTCCAAATGCCACCGCGGGAAAATCCTGTGCTGCAGTTTCTTTGGAATCTTGACTATCCATTCCCCCATGCCTTCGGAGGATTGTGGCGTCCGTTGACGTCTCATATTGTCGTCCTGCACCGCTAACTGATCTGGAACCGGTGTCGAGAACGTTATCATCAGAGCGCTGTTCCTCGTTCAAATCATCTGTGTGGGGCGGGTCTTCAACATCGTCTTTCGATGTCGAGAACAAAGGTTTCTCTTCTGGCTGTTCACCTTCGACAACGGGGTTTGGACTAGCTGATGCCTCCACTGATGCCGGCAGTGCCTCAAAGTCCGCAAAGGTCAGCGGCTGCTTCTTCTTTTTGCCCTTTTTCTTGGTGACGTTCCATTCCTCTGGCTCAAACCTCTGGTCGGGCATTGCTTGTGGTGTTGCTTTGTCCAAGGCCTCCACGTTTGTCGATTCAATTTCTGCCGTGATTCCCGTAGGCTCGGCGTTACTGTCATCCCAGGAAAGTTGCCGCTGGTTCCTTCCGCCGTTCTTCGATTTCGATTTCTTCCGAGTTGACATTTCCTTTTCAGCAACAGGCTGCTCAGCTTCAGGGGTAGTGGAAGAATCAGCTTCTTCCACAGGTTTCTCAACCGCTTCTTGTTCTTCAGCCTTCTCAGCAGCGGATTGACGGGCCTTCTTCTTCCCTTTCTTTGCCTTTTTGCAGGAAGAGTCTTCGTGTTCGAAAACTTGATCTGTTGAAGTAGTTTCAGCGGCGTTACTCATAGCCACTCCTTCTGGTGTTCCAGCAATTGACCCCGCTATCTCGGGCACCCGCCTCGCACGTCCATCCACAAGTTCAGCCTCGCGTCGGACAGGTTCCGCTCCAGCAGGCTCCTCTTGCAGTAGCTTTTCGACATCAGTTCTATCCTCTTCGGAAACCGTTTGTACCTTTCTCGGCTCTTCCACATATCCAGCTGCCTGTGGTTGATTACCAAGACCTCCCAGAGAAATGGAGGGGTTTGTTCCTGGCATTGAGGGAGTTGAAACCATCTGGCCTGCTCCTGCTGGAGCTAGATCTTGCTGAGCTATAGGTTCAGCTATTGGCTGCTTTTCCGGAAGATTTACATTCCCTTCCTCCTCCACATTCTCGATATTGCTTTCGACATCCGGATCATTCTGCAGGCTGACCTGTCCGCCAGCCTGGGGGAGACTCGCCTCAGCAGATTTTAGTTTCTGGCCCTTTTTTCGGTTCTTTTTCTTTTTGTCTGAAGGAAGCGACCATTCTTCATCTTGATCTCCGAGAGCAGAGGGGACGTCCTCTCCTTTGGGGGTTTCAACCGTTTCCGACATTTCAGTTTCCTCGATGGCTGAGACCTTAGCGATATTGTCCGCTTGTGACTGAGAAGCATCTTCACTCGAGGCTTCAAATTTCGGTTCAGGCGTTGCGGGTTCGATGTTGGATTGTCGCTTCTTCTTTTTCTTGTCCTTCTTCGACTTTGTAGATATCGATGGCAGGTTATCTTCCCAACTAGTCTCGGATTTCTGTTGTTGAACCTCTTCAGAGTCTTCTTCCATGGTCACCGCGTCACCCTCAGGTAGAGCAGCATCGATAGCATCTCCAGTCATTGGTTCAATAGCAAGCCTTGATTCACTTGCTGCCGTGTCAATTGAAGGAGGATCGGCCAGAGATTCCGATTCGATATTCATACCGTTGCTGAGATCTGCTATTGTTTCTACTTGCGGCGTATCAGCAACTTGGGTTGATTGTCGCTTCTTCTTTTTCTTGTCTTTCTTTGCCGATACATACGTTGGTGCCATACTCTGCTTACTGATATCTTCTGTCGTAGCCGCCGCGCCTTGCATCTCTCCTTCGGGCAAAGTGGACTTGGTGATACTGGGCTCGGTGGACTCATCGAACATTAGCTCTGGTTCATCTGACACGGCTTGGGTTTGACTGGACGGAGGACTATGCCGGATTGTTTCTGCAACGAGGGTTGATTGCCGTTTGTTTTTCTTCTTCTTTTCTTTCCTTGATCGCTTCGATAAAAGACCAAAGTCTTCCTCTACCACATCGTCAGATGATAGTTGCTGGCCAGGGGTAGACTCGATAGCAGTCTCAGTAGGGCCTCTAGCCCCTACTCCGTTCACTTGTCCAACAGAAGAATCAAGAGAAACCTTGGCAGGAGCTTCAATATCAGTTTCACTGATTAGCTTCCTCGTAGTTTCAGTAGAAGCTCCAATTGCTCCAATATATGTTTCGAGATCGATCTCGGCACTCGGTTCAGTAGCAGGTTCATTGACTGGCTGAAGAGTAGGTTGATTGATAGGGTCAGAATTGGGCTCGAGAGAAAGTTGAGGAAGTGGCTCTCGGGTAGGTTCGACAGCAGGTTCAACGGCAGGTTCAACACCAGACTCATCGGTAGATACAGGTATGGGGTCTGTAGCAGACCCGATCTTAGGCTCGATCGGGGACTCGGGAGGATGCTCAAAGATCTTTTCTGCAAGAGGCTCGCCAGTAGATTCAGGAGCAAGTTCACTGGCACACTCAGCAGCCAGTTTGTCAGTCAGATCAGTTGTAGTCTCGGTCGTTGGATTGACAGGAAATGACAGGGTTGCTGCCTCTGGGGGAGGATTCTCGAGTGCCTGAGGTTCAGGAGAATCACTTGTCCCGACAGGTTCAGGTACTGACGTCTCGTCAGTAACAGCACCGGATACAGAGAAATCGTCGGCCTTGGTGACAGCCTCGTCCTGAGCAGACTGCATTGCCACGTCGGGGAGTCTTTCAAAGCTAGATGCTAGGGTGCGAGGCATTTCTTCCGCGACATCCAACGTTGGTTGGGGATCAGTACCGCTTTGAGTACCGTTGCCTGCTGGTTGAGGAGGAGCATCATTATGTTCCGCAGGCTCTGTAGACAGGACCGTAGCAATTTGTTGTTCGACAGCGCTCGTGTTCTGCTCTTCAGAATCGGGGCTGGCTTGACCTTCTCTAGTTTGCGGACCGTGGGCATCCTCGATTTTTTCGTCCAAATCTGGAACTGTATCTGAGCCTTCAACTTGTTCTGCGGTTTGTTCTGCAGCTGGAGTAGGTGAAGTTTGAGGTAGTCGGTCACCGCTCTCAGTCCTAACATCGTCGGCCGATCCAGCTACGTCACCATCAAACAAGGACTGCCGGTTTTTTTTGCCCTTAGACTTCTTGGATTTCTTCTTAGAACCGGAGCCGTCACCAATATCTTGAGGCTCTTCCCCACCCAAAGCTGGCTGGGACTCGAGTTGAATCTCAGCGACTTGTGTTGTCGGTGCTTCTGTGGTTGATTCTTCGTGTGGGATACCAGAGTCGGCGACACTGTTTGCAGTTTCTCCATCTTGCGCCGATGAGTAAGATTCGGTGCTTTTCAATAAGCTGGTGCGTTTCTTCTTCTTATCCTTCTTGACCTTTTTCGTCACAGGGAATGTATCGTCATCATGGCGAGGCTCATCTTCGGCAAGAGCTAGGTCATCTGGAGGTGGAGCTCCGGCTGATACCGGTTCTGTTGGCGACTCTGTGTCCTTGTTGTCCCCACCAGCTTCAGAGACCATTGGCTGTGTCACGATTTCATCTGACAAAGACGCCTCCTGACCAGATCCTGAATTCTGGAGACCATCAAAAGCAGAAGCTCGCTTCTTTTTCCTATCTTTTCTCGACTTTTTCGATGTGAAAGCCCACATATCTTCGTCCTGGTATGCCATCGACTCTTTGATGGAGGTTTCATCGAGTGGTGACTTTGCCCTCGCCAGGCCTTCATCATGGATTGAAGCGGCCTGCGGTTCTTCCATTCCCTCTTCTTTGACGACCGATGGTGGGTTTGGCGCAGGAACCCCTGGCTCGTCATGGACTTGCTCGCCCTCACCTATAATAGGGATGGCTCCAAGCTCTGGGCCCAGGTGTTTTGCAGCTTGTTCGTCTTCTGCTGAAGGGAGTTCTGGTAGAGGCTCTCCGGATGTGGCTGCCACTTTCACCTCTTGTGTTTCATCCGGAGGGGTCAGAGCATGGACCAGCGCAGTCGCATTAGTTGACTTCAGATTAGCTCCCGCAGCTTCTGGTTCCTCGAAAGATGTATAAACATTATCTCCAGAAAGCTTTGTGGATGTGAGCGGACTTTCAGCTCCGACCAGGTCAGCGGGAGTGCTGGCATCTAGCGTCTGGTGTTCGTCTGAATTCCCGTCCTCCTGAAAGGTACTGAGTAATGTGTTCGCTTGCCCTGGAGTTTGCGGTACTTGGTCCCCAGCGACCTCTGACCTAGAACTGGGCTTTGAAGAGTCAATTGCAACTTTTCTGGAGGTCACATCGATCGTTTCCGGTGTCAATAACTCGGAAGGTGCCTGAGATTCCTCGATCGCCTCTGGTTCTTGCACACCTTGTTCCGTAGGATTGGGCTCTTCAATCAGACTTGACACATAGGCTGCTTGGTCCGTTCTTGGTTGTTGTTCAGAGGGTAGGATAGTAATAGTAGATGGATCTTCTTCAGGTGTCTGTCCGCCCGTTTGCTCGATCGTCGGCGGCGCATCCATTTTTTTCCTAGACTTTTTCTTCTTGCCCGACCTTGAAGTAGTCTCTTGGACATAACCTGAGTCCTGTTGGACTGTGTCTGCAGAATCAGCGGATCTCTCCAGTGAGCCAGGTCCCTCTAATGTCGGCTGCGCGGGTTCATCTGAGGGACTCATGGGAGTGGACTGTTGAAGGGCTGGGTCAGTGGCCTGCTCAGCCTCTCTAGTTTCGGTTTGATCAACCCCTGTTCCAGTCTCGTCCCAGTCGTAAGACTGAAGTTGTTGTTTTTTTCCCCTTTTGCCCTTCTTCATTTTCTTCGAATATGCACCGCCACTGTCATCTTCGGGAGTCGACGACAAGGTTATCGTCCGACTATCAGTATCGGTAGTCACGGGAACATCGGAACCCTCTTTGACATCGCCAGGTGGTATGTCTGACTCACTGGTTTTGATTTCAGAATCATCGCCAAAGGGATTTGGCCCTTCTCCTGCTGATGCGAGCTCTTTATTGACCTCCCCAGACAACGTTGGCTCTGATGTTTTGACATGGGATTCTTCCAATGGGGATTGCGAGGTTTCAGCGTCAACTGGCGCTGAGTCTGATTCCACCAGGTTACCCAATGCTAACGCCTTCTTTGCTTTCTTCTTGTTTCTTTTGTCTTTCTTCGAACGCCCGACATCCGCTTCTGTCCTAAGTATCTCTGAGGCTTGCTGGGTAGAGACGGATGGGGTCTCGCCTTCTTCTCGGATAGTGGACAAATGAGTCCCTCTAACATCAGGAATCTCTGGTTGGAATGCTTGGTACGCTGTTTCGACGGATGCGCCCTCAACCAAGCCTCGAGCTTGTACGGCTCCCTTGAATGCCTCTTCAAGAGGATCACGGCTTGATTGTGCGATACTTGATAAAACACCTTCTGCAAGAGGTTGCTCGAGCTCCGTCTGGTCGGCCGCTAGATGTTCGTTGATATCGACGTGATGTTCGACTTCTGGATGCGCTGATGAGTCAGAATCTTGTGCCGAAGTAGATTCCGTCGGCTGTACGTCCAGTGCGTCTTCAAATGACTCTGTGGTGCCAGAAGTAAGTGCCTCGACATCCCGGATATCCGAAACAATCACGTCTTTGGGCTCCCCTATTTTGGGATCTTCCACATCAGCTTGCTCTGCGTTCACATGTGCTTCTGAGGGCGACGCTTCGTTGAAGGCCGTCTGCACATCTTCATCATCCTTGTCCCTCGCTTCCTGTAGCTTGTCTGATTCACTATCAACTTGGATTGCCTCTGCTTCGTAGATTTCAGGTTGCGGCTCCAGAGCCTCGTGTGGGTCTAAAACGGGTTTGGCTTGTTGCTCGAGACCTCGGACAGAATCCAAGGGTTCTGCTGCTCCAGATGGCGGAGGCACACTCGCTTCGTCGCCTTCTCCAGATTCTTCTTCGGATCTTTCTACCTTCTCGAGACTGGTTGTGTCATCCCTGACCATTTCACCGAGGCTGGTTGGGACAACATCAACTGACTTTGCCAGAACCACTTCTTCTAGGTTGGACGGGGTTACACGTTCATTGTCGGCTGGTTTCTGCAAGCTCCGGGCCCCTAGATCCTCGGCGTTGGATGCAGGACTAGCGTTTGTTATCACGTCAGTGTCAAGCCTGCGCTTGTGAATCTCTGTGAAAACGCCTCGCCAAGCGTTAGTATCCAGGGCGTCTTTCGTGGGAACCTGCGATTCAGTACTCCGATGCATATCAGTGTTTGCTTGAATTGACTCGCGCTCCGTTTGTTGCTGAGAGGCCGTCTCATTGTCAATTCCTGTATTGTGAGCTGCTTTGGACCCGGACTCTGGTGTGACGTTCATGGACTCCAACTTTCTGACCGTTCCGGTTTCATCCGCCGGGCTATCCTCTTGCAACTTCTCGAGCACTTCATGGGAGGTGACGGTTAATGCAGAACCAAGAAGCGCACCAGCAGCTGCTGTAGCGATTCCGTCCTGCCACGATACTGATGTTGATCTTGGAGTGGAAGCGCTCCTTCGACCGCGACTCTGACTTCGCGTCCTCGCGGGAGACAGACTCCTACTTCGTGCACTCACGTAGTCCTGATCGACGTCCGTGCTTGCGACACTGGGGAGGGGGCTATGAGGCACAACTTCCTCGTCCACCAGAGCTTCATCATGAAAAAAGGCCGGATCTTGGAGCAACTCGCTCGGTGAATGGAACTCATATTTTGGCTTGGGCTTCTTTTCTTGGTCACGAGCCCTTTGTGCTTCACCAGGCACTGGTGTGGCTGATCGAGAATCCAGATAGTCTGGTGATTCTCGCCGTTTCTCACCATCATCATGCCAATACGAGTAACTGTGTCTCCTGCCATGTTCACGAAAGCTTTCCGCGCTGATGCGTGACGGGGTAAAGGAGTCGGGCAGGTTTTGCAGATAAGCTTCTGCGCGAAGATCTTCCATGGACGGATGGGCGGAGCTGGTTTTACTTGATGGCAACGATGGGTACTCCTCTGAAAGTTCCGGTGGCGCTGCTTTCGCAAAATTTTGTCTCTCTACAAGATACAGCGGTCGGAATTCTTTGCTCGAACGAAATTCCGTCGACTTTGGCCTTCCTTGTCGAGTTCGTGGGGTGGTCAGTGGTGAGCTTGGAGACATAACTGGCGAACTCATAGAGAAGCGTGGGTTAGTGGGCGAGATGGGAGGCCGTCGGAAATGCAACGGCACAGCGGTTGGGGAGCTAGCCACCAGTGGGCTGGAAGGGATATCGCCTGTCCGTATAGCAGACAAGCGTCGAGAGGCTGCGGGTATGGGAAAGGGGCTCGAAGAAGATTCCTTGAAACTCCGTTCTTCCTCGCCAACGCCAGTTGCTGGTTCGTCAGGCAAAATCCCCGAATGAACATCCTCCATCCAAGTCGTAGGGAGAGCCGCAACGTGCTCGTTCTCTGTAGGACTGATTGTTCCATGTGCGTGGACACTACTGATGGGATCGGGCGGTGAAGACGTGTCTGTCTCAGACATTTGCCCCGAGACACCATCAATATCCATTGGCGTATCCGTGACCATTGGTTGTGGCATTTCGGGGCGACTTGCTAAAAAAGACTCTTGTTCTGTCATGTCCTGAAGCGGTGTTCCTGCGGTCTCCTCGGCAGAAACAAATCCGTCGTCGACAGTCTGATCATTGGATATCTCGTTTTGCCCGGCATTCCGGGTTTGACGATCTGGGCTGTGTTGACTCCTTGTAGCTGGTTCAGATGCTGCAGATGCGACATCATCAAACTCAGGTTTGTCCCTTGACCTGCGTTTTCTTCGAGATTCGGATTTCTCAGATCGTTCTCGATCTGCTCGACTGTCTGACTTAGAAGATTTTGCGCTCTTCTTGCTAGATGTACTGACATCACTCTTGTTACTGGAGAAGATATTGCTGAAAAAGCCACTAGACTCCTTCGGTCCTCGATCAGGCGCGTTGCTCACGATAGACGCGTTGTCTGCTTTCTGAGCTCCGTCAGAGGTTCCGCGGTGTTTGCCTCGCGAGGTTCTCTTATCATCCTTGCGGTTTCGGCTCGTTGCTGGAGCCTCAACAAGATCACCACTGCTGTGCCTTGACCTTCGCTTAGACTTTTCATTTTCATACAGATCATCGTCGGTACGGGATCTCCAAAGTGGTTCGAAGTCTGCACTGTCATCTGAGCGTCTATTCTCAGATTTTCTTGATGTCATCACGCCCACGTCGCTCTTGGAGCTGGACTTCGACCCCTTCGACTTTTCCCGAAGTCGTTCCCATTCCTCTGGATCTGAGTGATATTCTCCCTTGGAATCTTTCTGTCGACGCCCCGAATTTGCATCACTAAGCGTAGTCGGCCCCTCGACTCGAGATGATAGAGCTTCGCCTCTACTGGGTGAGCTGATGTGGTCATGTTCAGCAGCATCCTTGATCAACTGGTTCGCAGCGAGAACAGCAGATGTACCTAACACCATGTCCAGTGCGGAGGTCTTGGATGAGACGCTCTTCGCGAGGTTGCGGTCACTGTCGGTGGCATGTAATGGTTGTCTGGGACTGACGTCGTCCCTGACTTCAGACGAAACTTGCTGTGGCGAGGGAGGTTCAAATGCATCTCCAGAAGAGCGGGAACGCTCTCGACGACGCAGGTCACTCTTGCTCGGTCTGGTGGCGTCAGACGTGATTTCTTGGTCAAGCAGGGCTGTTCTACTTCGGTCTCCCACATCTTCCAAGGCGAGAACAGTTGTCGGCTTAGTATCGGGTGGAACTGAAGGGGAATTGATCCCTGTGATGCCCGGATCGCTCACTGTTTCCGCAAAAGGGCTTTGATAAAGTGCTTTCTTTCCGTGGATCTCATCCGTCTCTGGTGGGAATGAGTCTTTGTGCTGCTCTTCAAGATCACCATTGACCGGGGAAATAGCACGTTGAGGAGTAGACTCATGCTCCGTGCTATGGTGAGTCGTCTCCTGGGAGCCCTCCTTAGATTGAGGCTGTGGTTCCTGATTAATTTCCTCAGCTTCTTTGTCATCAACCGTCCAAGTGCGGCTTATGTGAGGTCTGTCATCAATGACGGACACTTCCTTCTCAAGACTCTCTGCCTCTTGTTCATCCAGTGTCCAGGCCCGACCCACAGCTGGTCGCTGTTGTGAATCTTCAGTGACCGAAAATGGCACTTTGACAACTTCATCCGGAGATGGAAGATCTGCAGGTCTCTGATCCTGAAAGTGCGAATCAGGTCCGTACTCAGAGCGCTCGTATTCTGGAGTCACGACTTCGTAAACATAAGTGTCAGGATCTCCCCACGTCACTTTAGACTCCTTCCGTTCTAGCGGCTCACCAATATCATCGGATGCCTCGTTCGATTTGGGCTCGATGATGGGCGTTTCATCGCCCCTGATACTGTGGACACGGCTTCCAGGTGGTGTAGGCTCAATCAATCCAAGCATTGGGACAGGCCAAGGGTGTAACAATGGGTCGTCATCCGATCTAAGACCAAACGGACGATAGTTGAATGGGTCGAACGGATGTGAGCTTCCAGGTTTGGGTGCTCCAGGAGCAATTTCAACTACAGTTGCCCCGAACTCATCTCGGTGTTCAGCCTTGTCGTTGTGTTCTTTGAGATGCTCCTTGATCTCTGTGGGAACGAAGAAGGCACTATAATCGTCATGCTGGACCGGTGATGGCGTTGAACGAACTCGCTGAGCAGCCATTCTGGCAATTCTTTCTTGCTGCGTCTCAGGTGGGGAAGAGACGTCCTTTTCTCTCGTCTTCAAGCTAGACTTTCGGGCCGGGGTTGCTTCTTCACCCGACCGACTCCTGTCGTCTTGATTTGCCATACCACCTATGGCCACAGTTGCTGCAGCACCGATGACAGAACTTTCGACAGCTCTCTTTATACTCGAGTCCTTCCGTTTCCGTTCTTCAGCTTTTTCGTGCTCCTGGTAGAGCCTCTTTAGTTCACGATCGATCTCAGCCACTCGTTTGTCAGCATCCAAAGAGCTACCACCCGCATCAGACGATCGTCCTGGCCTTGCTGATATTTCGTCACGCATTGGCTTGCGAGCATTTGGTGTAGACTCCACGGGAAAAGTAGAATCTGTGGGCCTTCCTCGTCTATTGTCGTCAGACCTTGAGCCCCGCCCCTTGTCCTTACCACTGGAGCGTTCCTCATTTTTGAGCTGCTCGTCAGTCAGGTTGAAATTGACGCTGCTCCTCGGACCCTGGGAAGGAAGCTCAGGCGAGTTCGAATCTCGTGCAACATGGCCCCGGGTTCTCTGTCCTTTCAATGACGTCTGCCCTTCAAGCTGGATATCTTCTGAGATATTCTGGCCTATAAAAGGTGCGATAAGGGGAATCGGTTGGGGCTGTTGTAGAGGCACAGATGTCGACGATACCCTGGTAGCATAGGGAGAAGCAGCCTTCGACGGGGGATTAGACACTGGTCGGGGTTCTAGCTCACGCATCGGATCTAGCGCGCTGTAGGTTGGGGGTGGATTTGATTCCTGCGAGAGTGCGTTAGAAGCCATCCAACCACCCAAGGCTCCTGCTGCACCCACCACAGCGGCCGTTTCGATTGATGAGGTGGGAAAAGATGGTGCGTCCCCGAATTTCGCCTGTCCCAAGCTGTTCCGATGTCGCCTTTGGTCATCTTTTCTGAAGTTGTAATCCGATACTGATGCTCGGCCACCTTGAGCGAGATGCTCTCGGCTCTTGGAAGCAGAGAATCCTCCACCATATGCCATTGCTGTATCCACACTGCTTTCGGAGTCGACTTCACCATCTGTGTCATACCATTCGTCATCGCGTTCGTCAGTAGTTTCGTGGTCAGCCATGGAGATTCGACCATGTGGGCCCCTGCTGCCCGGGCCTACATACTTGTTAGCGTCATATTTTTGCCTACCTTTATGCTCTCTTCTGTTAGCCTCGTCAGCAAGAGCAGCACCCCTATTGAACAGGTCTTCCATCGGCGGCACGGGGTTGTTGCGATGCTGTCTGCCTTGTCTTTCTGGAAGTCGCCTCTTGGAGGGTTTCCGACGTATGGTTCCCTCACCATACCGTAGATCAGCGTCAGATGAGGAACTTGAGGCATTTGAGAAATTGAAGAGGCCCTTTGGTTTCTTCCCCTTCTTTAAATTAGCTGATGGGCTGGTGAAGAAGCCCATCAGACCACCTGACCCGTCGTTGGTCGTTGACAGGTCGACATATGAATGCATTGGTGAGACTCGTTTGGAAAAATATCTCCTCCCCGAGCTTGGGGACCGACTTCTATTTTTCCTTTGACGCCGGGAGTCTGCGCCCAGAGCTGCAGCACCAACGGCAACCCCAGCAGCGCCCATTCCAGCGCTCAATACTGCGCCACGGGAGACAATGTGTGAAGACGAGCTCGAGGACGATGAGCTCGATCGACCGGCGCGATGTCTTCTTTGGGTTGAAGATACGCTACTCCTCCCCACCCTCTTTGGATCCTGAAATCCTGCATCATTGTCTTGCGAGAATGGTTGTTCGGCTTGAAAGCTGACTCGGCTCTGGTTCACAGGTCGCCCTGACTTCACCGAATATGTGTCATCGAAGCCATGTTTCTGTTGAACCACTGCTTGCCCAACTTTCGCCACGCCATAGCCAGTCAAGGCACCGACCACCATCTTCTTCTTGAGTGAGGAGGATTTTCGAAGATTTTCATCCGAGCTATGCCTATACATCTTGTCTACCCGTGTCGTACTCCCATACCGGCTCCCGGGGGATGGCTTTCGCCGGCGATAGTCATGTCTGCGAGGTGCATCGGCAGGTGAACTCCTGGGATCGAAGCAATATTTACAAACACCAATTGTCTCGGTGTACTCCTCGAATCGCGCGACTGCTTCGGGATCTCGCCACCAGTCAATGAATCGTCCAAATAGTCCCTGATGTTTATGTCGGTGGGCATGATGCATCTGGTGACCATGTGATACAGAGTGATCATGTGCTAGTCCGGCCATATCCGCTGAGTGTTGATGCTGGTGGAGTGAGGGCGTATTGTGAGGGTGGCCAGAGACGTAGGCACCAGCTGCCGCTCCAGCAAGGGCCGCCGCGCCACCGTACAGACCTGCATTTGAATGCTGGTGTGAGACTCCGAAGCCGGCAGGCGCGGAATAGGGGGTTGATGTAACGTGTAGCCCAGCTGGAGGTCTGTTGGGCGTTTGATATGCACTGGCTGACGGTCCTGCACCTCCGCCTCCACCTCCACCTCCACCGGCATAATACTCGGCCGCTGCACCGATCACAGCAGTGCCTGAGACCGGAAAGGAGCCGACCGCACCAGGAGCGACATCAAAAGGTGGTGCGTGGTTACCCGGAGGGCCTGGGCTAGATCTGGGACTCGCTCCATAGGAACCGTGCTTGGGAGGCTTGTTAGATCCCAAGCTCGGTTTCTGGTGAGGTTTAGAGGGTGTCGATTGCGACCCGATGTCGCTATCATTGTTGGTTTTACCGAAATAGCTAGCAGCAGCACCGACTTGGCCCATACTGCTCGGCTCGGGAGGGGGTTTGGCTTCGACGGTGGGCTCCTGGAGATGGGCCTGCTCTGCGCTGGTGACAATATTTGGGGCGTTGGGACGAACGCCAGGTTGGGAGGCTACTGACTCGCCCTGGTCACCATAGTACTCTGCCGCCAGTCCAGGTGGTCGGTATGGCTGAGAGTACGTAGACGGAAACTCTCCAGGAAACTGGTTTTGAGGTAGTGAAGCACTATTATGCCGGTAGTCGCGGGCACTGTCCTTCTTTTCACTAGACTTCCTGGTCCGACGAGAGTCGCGAGGGCTATCTTCTTTCTTCGGTTTCCATGACTCGGTATCTTCCGTGCTTCCCCGACTCCTTTCATGTTTCGTCCTTCTTTCAGTCTTGCTTGGCCGTCTCCTCGTGTCGTTGCGTTCAGATTCTTTTCGCGTATCATCTCGGTATCGACCAGATATCTGTGAGGGTTCGTCGGTGATCGTTGTCGCATAAGTGGCATCGGGCTCTTCATGGTAGCTGGGACGGCTGGATTTTCGGCGCGACGAGGTTGTCGTCGCGTCTGGGGCGAAATGTCCGGTTGGGGAATCCTGATCATCATTTCTCGGTCGCTCGTACCTCGAAGATGCCTCTGAGCCGGCCCGCTGCCGGCCTGAGCTGGATTTTCTCATGGCACATCAGACGGAATCGTAGAGGCGTCAAGGCGGTGTCGACGTGTAGAATTGGATCAATGAAATAGAATAAATGGGCGTCGACGGCACTACTCGTATCATTCCTACGACGCGGCTGATGTTGATGTTCGCCGTTCAATGGGATAAGGAGGATTAGAAAAGATGTTCGTCCTGCGCAAGTGATTCAGAGACAGTTAAGGCCTGCTGCGCTGGCAGGTGCGATGATCGACTTGTCAGTCGTGTTTTGCAAGTGCGACTACTACGAGTTTTGAGTGGCTGGGCCTGGCGAGCTGGCTACCTGTTGTAGCCTGGGGAGGGGGGGGGGGGGGAAGCCTGTCTAGTACCGAGTAATTGCACAACCCCGAACTCCGACAAGCTTGGAAATCGTCACAGAAATTAATTAGGGCTCGCCTAGGTGCCGTGGGTGCGTACCGAGCGAGCGGTAGGGAGCGGCCACGACCCTCAGTCGGGAAACCCACATCACCGCCACACGAGGCAAAGCTAGAATATGCTTGGATTGACAATCGGGCACTTCATCTAAGCTCTGTGTATTGTTATTGTTTATAGATGGAGTCACTGAGGTCGGACACGCGTTTATCTAGGTAGGAGATTGAAGACAAACCACCCCTTTGCTTGTTGCACACTCGTCCTAGTCGTGCGTTCAGCTCTACTTGGGTGAGGGCGCCGTTCATGGCTCTCTTCACATGGTTCAGCTGGACAAGGGGGGCACGGATGTTGGAGATGCTCATATTGATTGGAGCGTTGGGAACCCAAGGGTTTAGCGCACTTCAGTCGTGCTGTCAACTTAATAGACCTGAATTGTTCTGACTGTTCTACTCTTTGTGAGTGTAGTATTTCCTCCAATCGTGGACATCTTTGAATCCCAAAACCTCTCGGATTTTCTTGTTGGAGAGGGGCGCCTCCCACTCGCCCATCTTCCGCGTAATGGGTGTATTGGGACAGTGCTTTTTCAAAAACTCCTCTGTCGGCACTGCCGTTGTAATAGTGTCGTTGGTGGCATTAAACACCTGGAACCCGAGCCCGCTCTTTGCAACGCACAAGTCACAAATTTGACCAAGGTCCCGAGCATCGATATAGCTCCAAGCATTTCTTTTTCTGGTCTCTGGTTTTCCCACGTGTCGGGGAAAATTGCTCTCGTATTCGTGTGGCTCAATCACGTTGCCGATCACCAAGGCGTAAATATCGATATTGAACCGTCGGGCAAAAGTCCGAGCGACACGCTCTCCGGTCAATTTGCTGCAGGCGTACGTATCCTCTGGATTGCGATCGTACGTATCCTCCTCAAGAGGGAAAGAATGGTAGTCATCGTCCCCTTGCGTGAAGCAAACACCATAAGTGGTCTCGCTGCTGGCAATGACAATCTTCTTCACACCCAACTTGCACGCAGCCTCGATCACATTGTATGTGCTCATGACATTACCCCGAAAAGTCTCGCTGTCTGGCACGATCATATTTCGGGCATACGCTGCAAAGTGGATGACAGCGTCGGGAGGCCCAGGGTGTTTCGGCAGACCAAACTCGCTCATCGAAAACAGCGAGGACAGTGCGTTGAACACTTGACCGCCATCGGTCAGATCTGTCTTCATTGTGTATACATTCTTTCCTGGAGGGATATGGTCTTTTGGGAAATCCACCAGATCCAAGTTCAGAACCTGGTGTCCTTTGTTCAACAAATATGGAATGCAGTGCCGTCCGGCTTTCCCGGAGCCCCCGGTGAAGACGATTCTTTTACCTAAGGAAGTAGACATATTCTCGGGTGCAAGACTGCAAGCAATGTCGCATGCAGATGGAAATCAGCTCTAGAGGCAGATAGAAATGGCAGCACCACTGGAAATTTCTGAGAGGTGATGACATGGAGTTCAACCGGGGTGATCACCGATGACATTCCGTGTGCCAGGGACTGTGGTAGCCCAAAGAGGAAGCTCGATGTTTTAAAACACGGCACTTCGCTTTCTTTGCAACTTGTTTGTATCTTGATCGCTCCGGCGCCGGAAATTGAAAATGCTCGATTTTGGTTTGATCTGTGGTTGCAACGCAGGCGCAGGTGCGAGAAAACTTGATTGTGAAGCAGCTCCTGACATGTAAGGACCTGATGAGTATCCCCCCCAGGCATTCACATATGGAGTAACGGGATGTTGTCCTTGGTGTGTCTCGAGAAAGGCTGATTGTCCGGCTTCGGAGTGGTGCCTGTGTTGTCGTGGATCTCGAGGAGGAAGATCTGGACGAGCAGATGCATCTTCCCGCCCATACATTTGCTTGAGCCGCTCAGTCTCCTGTTGGATTTCCGCCTGCTTTCTTCGCCGTTGTTCCTTTTCTTCTCTCTCCAAGAGTTGCCTAGTCAAGCGCTCCTCCTCCTCCTCTCTGCGCCGTCTTTGTCTCTCTTCCTCTAGCGCTTGCCTCCGCAATCGAGCAGACTCGGCTTCAATCTCCCACTGTGTCCGTGGATCTGTGGGTGGCACTCGCGGTTCGTGGGTGGGCGAGACTGGCTGAGGTCTGGCATCTGTTTGCAGAATTGCAGGGCCGGTACTTGGACTAGCCGGGTTGGATTTCTTGTTCACGTTGAGATTAAAGGTCTCCTTCAAAGAACCAAAATACACATCACGGATCACCACAGCTCCAAGCAGGAGGACCACCTCGAAACCTTTGAGATCCTCGATATCTACCCTCTGCAGATTTGGCTCATACAGGGTCAACTCTTTCAGAGCCTTGAATATCGACACAGTGATATCTGGGTCTCTGTGTTTGGCCTTTCCTTCTATATCCGTACTCTTCCCAGACATGAAACATGCCAGATCCTTTGAAAACTTGCTGTCTTTCTTCCACTTGAAAACAATTTTGGGTGTAACCTCTGAAGCAGCCGGGTCGTATTGGGTGCGATCAAGCGCAGACCCAGATGGAGGCCGAAAGGTCTGTTGTGGCATCTCGAATTCCCACGATGCGGATCTGTTGAAGCTCGCAGCCTTGTGCCTCACTACTATCTGTTGATCTGGATTGTAGAGCTGTATTACGAACTCGGAGGGGAGGATGGGTTCAGGAGGGGGTGGGATCGCCCCATTTAACCTGGCTTGTTCGGATAGAGGAGGAGGTTGGGTCCATTCTGGGATGAGCAGGACTTCGGCATAGAGGACTTCGGGACTAAAGGCATCGTAAAGTGCTGCCGCATATCGGTTTCTCGAAGCATGGTTATCTGGGTCTAGATGTCGTACCGTGTAGAAAGGCTCATAATCAGCTCCATGCTGGGAAAAGAGAAAGGTGGACAATTGCTTCGGTTTGTCTTTGGACGGTTTGAGGACAAAAGCTGCAACTGTTAGCAATGAGGATGCTGGAGGGACAGACATGCACACGTACTCGGCAAATTCTCATCCAGCATGGCGTTCCTGAACTTGTCTATCGTGGTGTCCTTGTGGTGCCAGTGACGAGGGCGTCCAGTGGTAAAACAGACACGCTGATACTCGAGACGACTCTACAGTACTGCAAGACTTTGTGGTTGACTATAGATTTGAAGTCGAGGACGACACTCACAGGCGCAACTGAGTCCGATTGTTTGCGCCCTCTTACGAATATCAAAAACACAGCCACGCTTCGTCAGGGCAAAGCACTCGAGGTCACGTCCTCAACGTGACTCCGGCTTGTTAGGCGCCTCAGCCTGGAGGCTGTGCGCCCTGTGGAGGCTCGCGGTTTACGTCGACGATCCCGAACCTCCGTTTGCAGTGGATCATTATTACTGGGTCGCTACGTGCTTGGAGGGACTACGGTGAGCTATCACCTTTGCAGTAACTTGGTGATGCATCAGTACCAGTATTTTCCCCACACTATCCATGAATACTAGGTACCTAGTAGTAAACCAGTACAGTGTATGGATTTTCTACGAGCAAGACGCGCGTATTCGGTACGCAGCTACGAGTATACGACCAGCCATTGACCACAGCCCAGCCTTCTAAAACGGAAATTTCTTCAATTTACAAAAGACGCTGCGTCAATCGTGTTCATGCAGTGTTGAATATAATATAGTTGATGAACCCGTTTCCAAAACTGCAGTTCAACGTCTTGTGGCTATTGAAGTCGCAATGCCTCTTCATCAAGGACACCGAACAAGTTTTCCACCTCTTTCAGCACGTCCTGTATCCCGAGGCCCAGCTGGCCCGTGACTAGTGCATACGTGTACAAAAGGCTATAGTCCTCATCTTTGGTCCTTTGTTCGTGTGCGTCAGCCTGTCTATACTCGAAAATCTTTGCCAGGAGCCTGTCCCGTGTATTGTCAATGCTGGGCAACGCGTCACTCGTGATTGAATATTCCAACTTCATCGAACTCGCGAGAACGCTGAACAAGTGACTGATCCTCCGGCACAGCTGCGCTCGTTCCTTGGCTGTGGCTTTCAAGAGTGCCTCCTCTCCTGGGGATGTGTTCAGATCTTTTAGGATCACCTCGTTCATGGCGTGGAATGAACCCAGCATCTGCTCAGTACTGTTGAGAATCCGGCCATAGGTCGCATGTGGGAACGGCCGTCGGAGCTCAAACTCGCTTTTGGATGCCTCTGCCAGGCCTCGGAGCTTAGCTAGAAATCTTTGCAGATACAACTCCTCCCGCAGGTTCATGTAGCGATCTGGAGGGATACCTTCGGTCAGCGTGGCCAGTGGATCTCTCTTCCAGATTAAACCCATGCGTAGCCACAGTAGTGCAAGGCCATCTTTCAGCTTTTGCCGAGCCGATATAGGCCAGACGGCGCGTGTAATGATCAATCCCCATATGCAGCCAGAAATTACGGCAACCACCCGATGTCCGGCGATTGCAAGGATCAGGGGATTCTTTGCGGCATCCTCTTCGTCTCCATCATCATCATCGTTGTCACGACCAGCGAGACTGTAAGCGTACAAAGCACTGAGGTTGTATGTCAACATGATGAATCGTCCCATCGGGCCTTTGCCTTTTCCAATGATAATATACGCGGTCCAGTACGCCATGCAGACCCCAAAAAGACACAGGATGAAGGGATTGTCGTGCGATATTTCCCAGGCGGCTATTGCGAGAACAGCTCCAAGACAGGTTCCGAGCACCCGGGAGTAACCCGTCGTGTTGGACGCTCCGATTGTCATGCTGCACACAAGCATGTAAGAGACCAAGCCCCACTCCCCTCGCCAGTGCTGGTACAGTGGGCGTGTCGAGGAGAGGAAACTTGGAAGTGCGTACAGAAGAGCGCCGAGGCCGACCTTGATTGCAAACCTGATATCGTCACGTCGAAAAAAAGATGCTGCAGCGTAGAGGTAACGGAAAAATATTTGTTTGAGGCGAGGTTGATCAGGCCACTGGGGGACATTATGCTGTGGAGATACATTGAGCTGCTTGTCGCTAACCTTGACTTCAAATTCATCGGAACCTTTGGCCAGTTTTGCAAAATCAGGGTCGAGTCCAGCCAGTTCTGTGTGGGTGTATGGTGAGCGCCAAAACTTCAGCCAATTCCACGTCTTCCCGGAAGGATGCTCGTCAACCTCGAGCTGGAGCTCGTCGAGGATGTTCAAATATTCTTTCACGGATTCAGCCACTTCCACCAAGGAGAATGAAAAGTGGCCACAGCAAGCAGCGGCATCCTCCCAGTCAGCTTGAACAGGCATTGGTCGAGATCGAAACATGTCCTTCTGACTATATACAGCCAGGATTGCATCTTGTCGAGACTGTTTGTACAACCCCAATGCTCGATCAAGACTCATTTTGAATTTGGGATTGGTGGAAACGATGTATCGCTTAGAGGCATCAAAGGGGCAGTCATCCAGGATTTCTTTCAAAGTGAAAGCCAAAGATCTCATGGAAGGCCCAAGGTTTTCGATGAAAAGCTCGAATATTTGCGCCGGTGATCGAAATGGCAGGGGAGTTGGACCCGACAGCGATCCAGTAAGCGGCCTGCCCGACCCCTGGATAGGCGAGGATGGTGCAGAGTAATTAAACCATTCTCGCTCGCCCATGGTGACTTTGGAACTCTCCATTGAATCCATCCAGTGTGGTGTAAGAGTATTCTCTGCTGCGAATTGCGCGGAACTAAAGGCCGGCTGCTTGGTCACGACAAACTGCATGGCTGCAGCACTCCGAAGGCCGCCAATGCTCTGCGAAATCCGCTGGAGACATTGCGCCAGCCTACCCTCAATCAGAGCCTGTCTCTCGGTGCCCAAGAAGTAATGTTCGTATCTTGCTTCTTTCAAATTTTGTGGAATGGTAGAGGAAAGCTTTTTGTGCTGATCACTAATGCTCTGAAAGACGCTATCTTCCAGTTCTGCCTCATCGCCAGATAGAAAGCTGCTCGTAATCAAGGCAAGCATGTCCGCATGTGTATCAGTCACCTGCAGGAGGTTTTTCCTCAACTTGTGTCTGGCGGAGATGGGGAAAATCAAGAAGGAAACAAGCATAGTGGCTATCACACCAGCGACGATCATCTTGAGGATTTGCGCGATAGACTTTGTCGAGTAGTCACCGGCCTGAATGGCGCCTTCTTTCGTGAGGATGGTGACCAGGCTCAGAGATGACAGGGAGCATGCTATGTTCACCAGGGGATCATTTCTCCTCAGCTTGATCCATCCGACAAATCCAAGACCGCCTCCAACAAAGACAACCAGAACAATAGCGTGTCCAAGCTCAATAAGATGAACAGTATCTGAAAAGAAAGCGGCGACGGTCATGCTGAGGAGCGACACGACCGCCACGTAGAGGAATGCGGACGTAGCCAGCAGAAGAGCATCCAGCATACTCCCAAGGGATCTCGCTGGGTGAAAGTACACCGTAATAGTGGCGACCATGTGTTTCGAGTTCTGTCTCCCGAACAAGAGGCTCAACCGGGGAACAAATGTGGCCAGACTGCCCAAGAAGTATGCCAGTGCGCATTTGAAGATCCCCTTCCCAGTGTCCGAGAGCATGAACTGTTTGGCTCGACCTGCCAATTCCAAGCTCTTTGACGCCCACGAGCCATGATAGGGTCCGGGGCAACCTGGGCTTATTTCTTCGATTTGTCCCAGTAAAGGAGTGGTGTCGTCCACGGCGTGGTTAAAGACATCGGGACGGTCGAAGTTATGGAGGGTAAATGTTTTGCTCAGCCGTTTGCCCGTGGCGGGATCGATATAGGAAGATTGACGAAGCTAACATGTATGATATCAGCAGCACATTCCCACGGTGGCTTGTCTAGACGTACGCTGGCTCTAGGATTCAGATTGAATGTATTTCTGTCGAAATCTTGGCCATCTGCGGCCATACTTTAGACAAGCTTCGGCTGCTTGTTAGGCTACCCGGACGACCGACCCCGAGATGAGATACTGGCCATATCAATGTGACCACATAGTGAGATAAGGATAAATTGAAGTGATCTCTCCAAGGAGAAGAGGATTCAAGTTGTACAAATATTGCCTTTGCAAATTATGGATTGGTTTGTTTACGGTGGGTGCGGCGAGTCGCCTGAGAAGATGACATCAATCACGGCCCGACATTCATCCGACATCTCGTCCATCGTCCGTCGAGAACGACAAAAACTCTGGAATAGTATATTTTATCTCCTCGACTCTACTTTCTCCTGGGCTCAAGCTGTCAATGGAACTGATTTGGTCCCTACTAGAGACGATACGTTTAACTCCCAAGACAGAAGAGTAAACAATAGGGTTAGCCATCGCTGTAGTCTGTCCAGTTCGATATCCAAGCTTGATATCCTTCACCCCTCAGTATCCTAGAAATCAATATTTCACCCGTCCTCACGGGTAGACCATGACCGCCCACTTTTCACTGGCCAACGATCTGACCATGATTGCCCAGAGTTGCCAAAATCGCATAACAAGCCTCGAAAATAGAACAAGAGAAAGAGGGAGATAGGTAGAAAAGGGGAGAGAGAACGTAATCGTGGCTGAGCTGGTACACTGGAAATATCGAATCTTGGCATCTTCCCTCACATCGCCTTTAGCCGCGCCAGATATTCCGATATCCTCATGATATATATCCATCTCTATAATTTTACTCTTCCCTTTTTTTTCGTCGTCTGTTCAAACACGGGGCCAGACAGCCGACTGCGCGTCGACAGGGACTTCTGCAACGCCAATGTACGACGCTCACGCTAGACCTCCCGAACATATGCGAGAGCTTTTCAAATTATGGCGGAAACGGTCTGCTGTTGAAGTTGAAGCTGATCAGCACATCATTAACCCACGAGAGCCAGATTTCAATAGAGTCTCAGCTTTACCGGAGTCTGAAGTCCTTGCACAACCCGATATGGAGATTTTGACCACGGATTTTCTCGATAATGCCATAGACATCGCAGCCACGGGGGCTGAAGACGCTACTTTACCACCACGAATAGCCTTTGAGGTGAACGGACTGCCTGGTTCGCGCTCGCTCTGTTGCTTGCCATGTCACGACACAAGCTAACTTGAGGTAGGTCTCAAAGTGTTTCCTTCCCTCTTGCCTCCTCGACTCCAAGTTGCCTTGCTAGACAGGCTCCTTCATCGTGATCTCTCTAATCCCGTGCACAAGACTAATCTCAACTACCACCACCATATCACCTACCCGCGAAACGCAGGTACTTCATCTTTATCTTCATTCTTCGCTGCACGTCTCGATAATGTTATCTCCCCGAAGGATTCTTCGACTCACAGACCCATGACCATGGCGCAGATGCTCGGAACCAAATTGCGCTGGGTCACATTGGGAGGTCAGTATGACTGGACGAACAAAATTTATCCTGATAGCGAGCCGCCGCCTTTTCCCAACGATATCGCCGCTCTTCTAAAGAGACTATTTCCTGCCGTTGACGCCCAGGCCGCAATTGTCAATTTCTACAGTCCCGGAGACACCTTGAGTGTGCACCGAGATGTTAGTGAGGCATCCGACAACGGCCTCATCAGCATCAGTTTTGGTTGCGACGGTATCTTCCTTGTTGGCGGCGACGATAATGCTGATGCTATAGTCATTCGGTTAAGGTCTGGGGATGCAATTCTCATGTCTGGGGAATCCAGATATGCCTGGCACGGCGTGCCGAAGATCCTCCCGGATACCTGTCCTCCCTGGCTGCAAGACTGGCCAGATACGGGCCACGATGAACTATACCAGCAATGGCGAGGGTGGATGAGTAAGAAACGAATCAATCTCAATGTCCGTCAAATCACCGAATGACGCTCAGCCGATTCACGGCCAAAGACTTGTGATGATGGTGCAAACCGCCCGCTCGGAGTGATGGAATCATGCCCAAACAGGCAGGAGAAGTCTGTCCTCATTATCAATTTGTTCCCACCGGTAATTGGAGGTAGAGGTGGAGATGTGCGTCTCCAAGCAGGAACCACTTGAGGTACCCCCTCAAATAGCCAAACCATCTCGCGAGGGGTACAGGACGACACGTTTTCGAAGAGTCGTACCCTCTACTCGTCAAAGATATTCAGATACACCGTCTGGCTTCATTTGTGTCTGCCATCATGGTTGCCGATTGGGAATCCCGTGCAAAAGCAAAGAGAGAGGCCATTCTGAACTCAATTCCAGAGAAATGGCGACTTCAGAAGATTCCTAGCCCGGAAGAGCAGAAAGACGTGACTGGCTCCTACATTCAGCAATTTCTCGATGAGAAGGAAGTCACGATCACCGAAACAGACGCGGTCGGCATTGCGGAAAAGGTCGCAGCGGGCGCATGGACTGCGGTTGATGTCACACAAGCATTCTGCCACAGGGCCTCGCTAGCTCACCAGCTGGTTAATTGCCTGCACGAGACCTTCTTTGATGCTGCTCTGGAGTCCGCCAAAGCACTTGATGAGTACTTTGCGAAGAACAAGAAGACAGTTGGACCTCTTCACGGAGTACCTGTGTCGCTGAAAGATCAGTTCCATGTTAAGGACGTCGAAACTACGATGGGATATGTTGGCTGGATCGGGACTTTTGAAGGCAACGCCAATGACCCTCGCAAGGGCCAGTATGAAAGTGAAATGGTGAGAGAGCTCAGAGCTCTCGGTGCAGTGCTGTACTGCAAGACCAGCGTACCGCACACTCTGATGAGTGGGGAGACCATCAACAACATCATTGGCTATACTTGGAATCCGAAGAATCGCTATCTCTGTTCGGGTGGAAGCTCTGGGGGTGAAGGAGCGCTGATTTCTTTGAGGGGATCGCCAGCTGGATTTGGTACCGACATTGGGGGTTCCATCCGCATTCCTGCGGCGTTCAATGGGCTTTATGGTATTCGTCCCTCATTCGGAAGGCTGCCATACGAAGGAATGGCAAACAGCATGGATGGACAGAACACCGTTCTCTCCGTTGTCGGCCCTCTCGCCACTACCGCTCGTTCCGCTCGACTGCTCACAAAAGCTATCCTATCCGAAAAGCCCTGGCTGTACGATCCATTGACTATCGACATGCCGTGGCGTGATGCCCAAGAGCAAGCAATCCATGATATTGTCAAATCCACTTCACAGGGAAATCGACTGAGCTTTGGAGTACTGAAAACGGACGGCATTGTGAACCCTCAGCCGCCGGTCACTCGAGCGGTGTCGATGATCGCAGACGCTCTCAGCAAGGCAGGACACCAAATCATCGAGTGGAAGCCACCGTCACACAAAACCATACTAGATATAACGTTCAAGACATGGGGATACGATGGCGGAAAGGATGTGCACGATGCCTTTGCACTTTCTGGCGAGCCTATGTCTCCTCAAATCAAGATGAGTTTTGGTGACGGACCGAAGCCGGAAATGACTGCCTCACAGATCGCCGCTAACAATGTTGAGAAACGGAAATACCAGAAACAATACATGGATTATTGGAATAGTACCGCTCAGTCGACATTGACCGGTCGACCTGTGGATGGGTTCATTTGTCCTCTTGCGCCATACCCGGCTGCCAGACCCACATTATATAAGTATTACGGATACAGTGTGTTTGTCAATGGGCTTGACTATACAAGCGTTGTCGTACCTGTGACCATTGCGGATAAAAACATTGACAAGTATGCGGATGGATACACGCCCATCAACGAGCAAGACAAGGAGGTTTTCGAAACTTATGATGCCGACTTGTTCGATGGAGCCCACGTCAGTGTGCAGATCGTCGGGCGCAGGTTCACAGAAGAGAAGATGTTGGCAATTGCAGAGTATGTGGGCGGTTTGGTTGAGAAATAAATGGAGGACATACCGCTAGCGAGAGGAAGGATGACAGACAACTCGATTCAATATTTGTACAGGTTCTTCTTGTGATACACAGAGTCGGAGCACAATGCTTCACTCGGCTGGGACGTTGTCCAGCCCAATGTCTTCCAAGCATGCCCACAAGTCCGGTCCGATCAGTTCCCGCAATCTGCTCTCTTCTTCGGACAGCTCGTCGTCCAGCGAAGGGGTGGGCGCTTTGCCTGAACGTTTCTTCTTGCCCTTAGACAGACTTTTTTTTTTCTGTTTGGTGTCTGCCGGTGTTTGTGGCTCCGGTATCCGTGAAATTGCGTCGCTGTAGATGTTTTCGAGGATCTGATCGAAGTCGACGTTCTCGTTAGCCTTCGATCTTTCCCCACCTGAGGCTTTAGAGTCAGAAGGCTTTGGATCCGACTTCAGTAGCGGGCAGCTGATAGTCTCATTGGGAAACACAAGTTTAAATTCTGCACTCCCTAGAGGGTGTGAGTTGATGGGATACCGACACTGGCTCGGGAAGTCACAGCATTCGCAGCCTCTTGCAACCACCTCACTCTTGAGGGTTTTGAGAACTGCCCGGCGCCATGTCCCCCAAGCCTTCCAGGCTGCATAGTCGAACTCACAGGAACACGCCCGAGGCCTTTTCTTTTTCCTCAGACTGGGCCGATCTGTCTGGCCTGAACAGTAGTAGTGTCCATCAACTAGGCATCGGCGTGTTACGCCAAGAGGATATCGTGAATGGCACAGGTGGCATATCCACACCCATGGTAGCGGCTCGTTTTGTGGTGGAGGAGGAAGAAGAAGAGAAACAGACTGTCGGTTGTCATCGTCAAGGTCATGATGGACAAAGTACCGGGGGGCGTCGAAAGGTGGCACTGAGCCGGTAGACGGAGAATCTGGTCTATATGTTGGCGTCCTGGGTGACCGCACTCCCTTATCCGATTCGAGGTTGTGACAGGACGTATCCAGTCTGGGACTAGGCATTGTGTCCACCTGCTCAATCACTGAGTACTCGGTGGATTTATTGCAAAACGGAGGAGCGGGTCTCGTAATCCTGCTGTATTGGACGGTTATGTAGAAGATGGTACTTACTAGAGGGACATCTGGACACCCGCAGCATCAGATCGCTCTTTGTCATAACGCAGAACAATGAGACCGAAATAGGTTCGGAATAGCGTTGTGACCGCGATGGATCCCTGGGGAACAGGACAATGAAAACGAAGTTCTCACTAGTTGTAAGACAAAGAATATGCTTGTACGGGCGCAAGTTTAGGTACATCAGAAAAAGAACACCCGAGACGAGCGATCGATGATGACGGGAAACCTGCCTCACTTTGTTAGGAACAGCCAGACAGCGTACCACTCGTAATAGAAATCCCTGTTCGAACATATGGATCGGCCAGCAGGGTTCGCTCTGATGCATTGGATCTACGACTTAAAGGGTTGCTGAAAGGTCCAAGTTTTGATAGGCTGCATAATGTACACTACACTGTATAGATGCAAGGTGGTCCTAGAATTAGACTACATTCTGAATTTCTTTGGTGTCTTTGAAGGGAGATGGTTCTTTCATATCAACATAGGAACAGTTAGATATGCAGTCCTCGACACATTGATCATGTAGAAGGTTGAATTAAAGGTTCTCAAGTTGTCACCAACTTTAGGAATGTTGACAAGGCCGGAAGACGCAGGGACAGGCTGCGCACCCAGGCATCTGATACTTACGAGGAAGCACTTTCTACTAAGATCACTGATCGTATTTTAGAATCTTTGAGACGGCTTCCACCGGTTAAGCAGGAGTCTTAATTGAGTAACCTATGGGTGGTCCTCTCCGAAGACACGCCACTAGGAGTTTAAAGAAGCCTACTCATCCACTACATGTCATACATGTCTCAGTCTTCCTTCAGCCTCGCTATCAATTTGAGGCGACTCAGCTAATCAGAAATCTAAACGATTGGCCGTGTAAGGCCCAAGTCCTTGATCTTTGTCTTGGATGACGACGTTCCACTTTACTTTACCGCAAATAGATACCCTACACGTGAATACCCAGGTTGCCAAGGGATTTCTCTGGCATTGATTGGATATCTCAAATATCACGTGACAGTAGTATCCACATCTGCAAGGCTAAAGCGCCAGCCTCGCCATTCCCAATCCGCTAACGCATTAGCTCAGTGCCAGCCTCGTGGTGTCTAGACCACCTATCCTGCCATGTCAACAGCAGCCAACCACCCATCTGCAATACCCAGCCATCGTATAATGAGTCCTGAAGGGCTGCGAGGCTGGTCCTCGCGCTTGCGGATAACTACATGTAGGCCTTGGAGTGCTCAACATTCTTGGTAGCATTCCATCAACCTTTGACAACCTCCCATTGCAACTAGAACAAAAGAAACCGAAGCTTCACCTACACTACACAGCTGGTTGACATTGCATTCCTGATATAGGATCCTTCATTCTTTCTCCAGCAATACACCCCTACACACCTATCCAAGATTGATTCCACGGCGCCGCAAACGTTTGTTTTCGCGTTGAGTTGGGGTTCTTTGCCGAACATCGCGTCACCTCCTCTGTCGCCGCGACCGCTCTCTCCTCGCAGTCACCAGTCCGAACCGGTTCCCATCAGGAAACTCCCCGACAGCACTTCGCTCCTCTGTGGACCTCGACTCAGCCCGCCTCCTGTTCGATTTCGCACATTCACCTCTGCGGGACACGCACGCACCCAGAGCGAACCCTTTCCACCACCCGGCAACTTAGCCTCAATCGGCGGCCACTTTCGACCCCAGCCTCCCCCATCTCCCACGCAACCTCTAGTCGATCAGCATCATGGTGCAAAGAAACTACGTGATTGCGATCATTGTGATCTGCCTCTTCGTTGTGCTGGCCATTGTGGGTTACGCCATCTACGCGATCCAGAACCGAGTCAGCCTGTTTGCGAAACGGGAGAAGGAGATAGAAGAGGGAGAAGAAGAGGAATAACGCTCTCGGAAACCCCGCGCGTCCGCAGGCGTGTACGTTTTCAAC